GTTTTTTTTTTTTTTTTTTTTTTTTTTGAAATAAAATAATTGCTATATTCTCCAGGTGCTCAGGCTTAGACAAGAAAACTTAATCTTTCCTTCGTCCTCTTAAACCCTTCTCTTCTCCCCTATTTTTCACATCAGGCACCTGAAAGAGATCTCAGAACTGCAAACTCAGCAGAAGAATGAAATAGAAGCTTTGTACCTGCGCCTGGGGAAACCCTTACCTCCCAACGTGGGGTTCTTTCATACCGCTCCCCCCAGTGGTCGGCGAAGAAGGACAAGCAAAAATAAATTAAAAGCTGGGAAGCTGTTGAATCCTCTGGTGCAGCAGTTAAAGAGTGTGGCCTCCAATACAAGTAGGCAAACAGTTCACTTCATGGAGAAATGGAGAGTTTAACAGTGTTCTGGTGGGCATTTGTGATGGGGAGAGAAGAGTGCGGTGTATCCTTAGCTTACACACCTCCCTTCACATTCTCTGGCTATGAACTAGGCCAAGGATATTCATTCTGCATTGTGTCCTGGGACAGGAGAGTGGAAAGTTCTGTTCAAGGTTACTGTTTCCTAGCAGGCCTTTTAATTTTTTTTGTTTGTTTATTTGTTTCCTTTTCATTAAAGAAGTCACAGAGCATAGGAGTAAGTTAGGAATGAGTAGAGGGGAGACTCAGATTCTCCTGGACCACTGAAGTAGCCTCAGATTATTATGTTTCTCTTTATTGCAAAAATTCTGGCCCCAATTAGGCGTGAGGGGTGGGAGGGCTTACTAAAGTAGGCAAGGACCACGGTTGGTTTCTGGATCTAATGGGGAGGAAAGTGGGTGTTTCCCTCTTAATTTGCTGTAGATAAACCCTTGAGTTAATTAGTTAATGAGCATTTAAGCACCTACTAAGGGTCAGGCACCACACTAGGTGCTGGGGATATAAATACAAAGAATGGATAATTCCTGCTTAAATGGAGTTAAATTTTAATGATTTGATGATGTGATGATCCTTGTCATGGACCTAAATATCCCACTGTGAGTCCTAATGTTCTTAAGTTTTACCTGATGTACTTAAGTTTAAGTGATTGGAGTTTAGTTTCCTCTGATCAGTTTTTTTAATGTGATTAGCAGCTGAAATATTGTCACCATGAGTCACATGAACTGAATTTGGTGGTGTTTTTGCTTTGGTTTTACTTTTTCTTGTCTAACAATAATGCTTAATATATAGATGGAATTGAATTAGGAAAGAAAGGGAGGAAGGAAAGAAAGAAAGAAAAGAAAAAAAGATTCTTTGGAGTTGATTTGACAGAGAGAGAGAGAGAGAGAGAGAGAGATCAGTTTGGATAGTTACAGTTAGTGTTTGGCCCTATGGGGGACAGTGTGAGAGGATTTCTCCTGCTGCTGTTGACCAGTCTCTAATCAGGATAGCATTCAATAGCAAGGAGTCTTCAGAAAGCTGTATGGTCTATATGGGGAATGTGGCAAATGTAAATCCAAGAAGATTTCAAAGCACCTGGAAGGAAAGCTGTGGTTTTTTTTAACATTCCTTATGTCTTTATTATTCATTTCCTCTCTGAATGGATTCATTTGCATTGCAAATTGTGATCCATCTAACAAAAGACTAATTATAATGATAAGCAATCTGTTTGTGCTTAGACTTCCATCTCTAGAAGTACTGAGATTTCCTAGCCTAATTGTTAATGGCACCTAACTTTCTTAGAGCAGTAATATAAATTAATAATGCATTTTCACATTAAGAATTTTTTTCCCACTTTCTCCTCATAACACTCACATGGCAGGTGGTATGGTGGGTATATCTCCATTATAATAAATGCAGGCACAGAGGGGTTGAGGGTCTCACGTAGGATCACACAGGTAAGGCTCATGACCGTAGGTAAGACCCTCCACTTTGTCGAGGGGGTTGCAGAACCTGGGATAAGGCCCCTGAAGGCAAGGCTCACCCCGCACAGGGTCCTGTGTCTGCTCCCAGCTGCTGTAGCTCTCTCATAGCACCTTTTGCAACTTTCTTCCCCGCCATAGGTAACTTGTCAGACTGCAGAGGTTCTCCCTCTAAAGACACTGCTAAAGCGCGGCCTGGTCCCACCGCAATCACTTCCTCAGCTTCAGGCGCGTTCGGAAAGGCAGTACAGACACAGCAGCCCTGCTCTGTCAAAGCCTCCCTGTCTTCTGACATCTGCTCCGGCTTAGCCAGTGAAGGAGGTGGAGCGCAAGGCCAAGGTGATTTGCGGCTTGACACTTTTCCAGCATGTACTAAGAAAGTAGGACATCATTGGTGTTGCTGGGCAATCTCCTGCTAACCCAGAGGAAAATATAAGCGACCTTCTCATTCCCTCCCCTCTAAAATTCAGGCTTTGCATCAAGCTAACAGAGGAGCTAAATTAGCATAGAAGCCTTATTTTGGGGGTGGTTTTTGTTGTCGTTTATGAGTAGTCTAGTGGGATACTGGCTTCCTACTGACTTGGCTTAGCTGAGACCACAGAGGTTTAACTGAGGGAAGTCAGATGTGCTACCTCTCCATTCTGTGTTCCTTCCTCTGGTTCCGGATCATTTTACTTACAAGCACCCCCACAATGGAGCCGAGAACTCCCGTGAGTGATGCTAAACTCCCAAGTCCTCCTGCAGTGGAAGTAGTCGGGGATTAGGGCACAAGTCTCCAATGCTGGGTGGGTGAACTTCTTATCTGATACTGAAATGGGGATTTTTTTTTTCTTTTTAAATCACTGCAGTTGCTCTAACAGTGGCTGTATCATAATCCTGAAGTGGGCTAGCCTTTAGCAGTACCCAGCTCCTTAAATTCCCGGCTCTCTTATCTCACCATATATATATTGAAAACTCTCATGGCAATTACTGTTGAAGTGCCAAAGCTAATGCTGTCCCTCTCTGAGAGTTTCATCTTTTCTTCTGTTCCTGTTACATTCTTTTTGCATATATGGTTGATTAACTTACTCCTCCTTGGATAGGCTAAAATGGAGCTGTGGATGATTAACTAACACGAGCTGATTTGACTGATGGTATAAGACATCGAATCACAGCTATTTGTACTTTATAAGTGTCTCTTTGTTTTCTTCCCTTTATATTCATTTGCAGGCTGGACGGTTTACCACCAAACGTCTGAGAGAGTGACCTATAAAACTAGTAGCAAACCTCGTACCAGATTCCTCAGTGGACCTGTGTCTTTGTCCATCTGTTTGTATTGGTTCTTTTTGTATTTTATCACTTCCCATCTCTTTCTTTTCCCTTTCCCCTTTTCTGAGCTCATCAATATCTTGGATATGTTTGGCAGGACGCCTTCTTTCCCCGCCCTACCTGCCTCCCCCTCACTCCCACCCTTCCCACTGAATCATCTTTTTTAGTTAAAACACACACAAATACACATACATACACAAACATTCCCCCTCTCCCTTTTTCTTTCCTTTCCTTTTTTAAAAACAATCATCATCAACCACTCATTACTTTTTATTTCTCACAGAAAGCTTTTGTGCACCACTTTTGGCTCATGCCTGGGTACCAAAAGCATGTGTGGAAGATCTCATCCCTAACTACTAGCCTTGTGGTAAACTGTTGTATCTCAGACATACCAAGGCTCTCTGTATTTTGTGGATTTTTTTTTTTATGTTGGAAGTAAATTTTTTCAGTTGCAATGTGGCAAATATACATGTCTGCTGTCCCCAGTTCCAGCGACAACAAAAAGAAAAACCCAACCTTCTGTAGACGCATGGTCTCTTTCACACATGTTTGGACTATGAAGACATGCATGTAGCAAGCCGATTCAATTCTAGAAGGTCACTGAAGGGTATAACTTCTGTAAAAGGGCTGTATTAAAGCAACATACAGTACTGTTTATATCTACTGTTTTCCCCTGCTCCCTGCATGTGGAAATGCTGTTAGAACAGTGCTCCAGCTAGTACTTCCCAATTCATTTTCCTAGGTGGTATTTTTCTACCTAGATCTTAAGTATCTGATTTCCCAACCACTCCTTTTTCCCTTTTCCTTCTCTTCCCTCTTCCCCAAAATTAAAATTTTCAATTGAATGATATAACTAGTCCTCCAAAGGGAACACATTCCTCAAATCATCTAGCTGGAGCACTTAACATGTTGTATTTTCTTATATAACTTCATGTGACCTCAGAGATGAAGTCAATTAGCAGTTCATCAAAGTTCTACAAAATAAAAATACTATTCAGATTTTCTTCAGATATTTTTAAATGTATTCTCAGTATCCAATAACTTCCATTTCAAATAACTGTGCACCTGTTTTAATCATTTGACAACGTGCATTTTATTTTTAGCTTCAAGAACAATTGGCCGTTGAATCCAAAGTCATTGGGTTTGGGCTTTTTTAAAAAGTAAAAATAAGCTTTTTTTATTGGGCATTTATGCTGGTTGGGGGCATGTGAATTTTTACTTGTACAATAAAGATATATTGTACTGGTCAGGTACAAGAGGCCACTTGCACATGATACTTAGCTAATGTTCTCAAACAAAAATTCTATTAGAGCAAAGTGTCCATTCCCATCAATGCCAGATTTCCCTCCCCCATTAGAGTTCTGCATTGTTCATCATTACCGAGGTGAGACAGATCAAAGGCACAAGGACCACTCAGATATGCTCCAGCTCTCTTCTAAATATACTTCTCTTAAAAGAACTTTCAAAACTCCCAACCTCATTCCAGTTCAGTGACTACTGCTCCCTAGCTCAAGCTGTTGATGAATTTCAGATATAGTTTTGTCTGGAATAGCCATATATTTTCTTTCATTTGAGGTTCATTTCATACAGGTTGTAGAAAGGAGAAATAAAGGGGTATTAGTGATTGTAGGAATTTTTTAATGAGAGGAACCTTTGTATATCTCTCTCTCCGTTTCCCCCCAACAAAAACAACCCTTTGCCATACTGGGCCAGCGTTTTACTCTTGATTTTGCAATAAGCATCTGAAGGAAAATTGAATTCCAAAAAAAGGGAGTATCAACCAATTGCTGACATCATATTTTGGGGGGACATTGCATTTGAAAATGCACAGTATCGCAAACTTGGTACCCTTACCTTCATTTTAAATAGATGGGTGATTTGTGACTAAGAGCAATTTGTGACTCCCTTCAGAATATGTTGGATATTTCAGGTTTGGGGAAATGAAAGATCCTTATGATCTATGCCTCTTAATTCCTGAAATCTTTTTTTTTTTTTTTAAAGATGGAACCAATAAACTATTACTAAGTTAGGGGCAACATCTAAAAAGAGAGGCAAAATTTTTAATGGAATCAATTATTTGTTTTCTCTGTTTTTCCTTTACCCTTTCTTTAATCTTGCAGGGGGGGGGGGCTAATTAGACAAGAAACCAGGCAAGTTTGAGAAAAGGAGAAGGGGGGAAAAAAAAACCAGAGGCATAGATAATTTGCAAATTTGGGTAATGAATTTGTGTGTTAGCTGATGGTGATAGTGATGAGGTTCCTAATGTTCAAGTGAGAATGTGATATTCACCAACCTGCTGGTCTACTAGTTAGTCTTTGCTTTCTCTCATATTCCTGATCAAATTAATAATATTACATATTATATTTATAATACTTTGGGTTTAAGGTAACCCGTGTGCTGAATATTTGAGGCAGCTAGGTGGCACATTGGATATAGTACTGGGCTCAGTGTCTGGAAGACCTGAATTCAAATATTGCCTCAGTCATTTACTAGGTGTCTGACACAGGGCAAGTCATTGAACTTCTGTGTGCCCCAGTTTCCTCACCGTTAAAATGGGGGTGCTAATAGCACCTACCTTGAAGGGTTGTTTTGAGATTCAAGTGAGATATCATATGTAAAATGGTTTGCAAACTGCTGAATAAATGCTAGTTACCACTATTGCTATTGTTGTTACTAACCGGTGCATAAGGTCAAGAAGGGTAGGGATCATTGTCCCCAATTTACAAATGGTGACATTGAGTTACAGAGACATTGAGGCTTGGCCATGATTAGTCATGGGAGAGGGTTTTGACTAATCCTTGAGTCCACTAATGGTTTATATTAAAGGATTATCTATTTTTTTCTTACGTGTGCATGTGCATGCCATATCAACCAGGATGCGTGTCTCGTTCAGTCATTCTCATAACAGTTGGAGAAAAATCAGAGGTGCTCTCTGAGGTTCATCAGAGAGGAGGTTCCTGTATAAGGTAGGATGTTAGACTGGATGGCTGCTCTGTTTTCTTCCAATGCTAAGATTCTGTAAATTGATAACAGCCCAGGAACTAAACTCTCTGAAGTACACATTATGTCTATTCCAAACTTCTCATTTTTAATTGACCCTGACTTAGTAATGGATCTATAGCTATGGTCCTGCAATCTGAAAGTTATGTTTATTCTAAGGAGCTTTCATTCTCCAGTGAGGAAATCACCAATTCTTCTGTATGTGAGGTGTTCCCACGTCAGTAAGTCTTCAATTAAGAGAAAGGAATCAGGAGCAGCTGGAAATTGCAACAAGATGCTGTAAAAATGGAGACAAGAGAATCAACCAGCAGAGGCAAAAGGGAATGAACTCAGGTGTTGTTAGCAAGACAGCTTCTCACCCCAGGGTCAGGCATCTAAAGCCATTTCCTGAGATTTGAAGTGAAAATGAAAGATTTCAGCAACTTCTCAGCTTTTGCCAAGAAGTGTATGGTAGACCCCTTTTCTTAGACTTGCTTGGCTTATTCTGAATCGCATACTGGAAAGAGCAAACCAGGCTTCTCTTGGCTCAGACATTTCAGAACCTGACTGGGAAAATGCAGAGAGCAGCATTTTGTATGAGATCAGTGGGAGTTGGGTTGTTGTTTTTTGTTTAATAGATTTTAAAATAAAAGGATGGAAATCCAGCCTGTAGACTATGCATACATAGCATAGTGTTACTCCATTTTAGATGTGAACCTATAGCTCTTGAGGTATTTTGAGGTTAACTTCATAAGTAGATAGCTTACATGCAGACAATGTTTTAGGAATTTTAAATTTAAGAATTTTAAAAATTAAAGAATTAAATTTAAGAAATTTAAGAATTTCACATATTGGTGAGTTGATTATACCTCATGTTTCCACATTGCTTCATACTTTTCAAATGATCTTCCCATGCATGGCATCATCCTTCAAGACCTAGATCAAGTGGTGCTTTGTTCTTCAGGGCACTGAATTATTGCCAGAGGTTATCTTGCTCTACTGCCTTGCCTGAAGAAAGACCTACAGTGGGGTCATTTTGTTTTGTTTTGTTTTGTTTTTACAGTAGGGTCTTTAATGTTATCGATCATAATTGTCGATTATCAAAATTAAGTGATCGTCTTTTTTTTTTTTTAATGTTGACTAAAAACCCCAAGAAGGATTTTAAACTGAGGATGAAGGAAGTTAATGGGGCGTGCAAAGCCACCCAGATAGTTTGGTAGAGATGGAATTAAAACCTAAGCCTGACTCCTCCAGTATGAAAGAATTTTGTCATTCGGTTATGGTGCTTAGCTGTTAGAAATTTAGACCAATAGGTAGTCAGTTTTCTTTCCATGTCATAAACCAATGGCTAATTTTTAAATTAGTAGGGACTGTTTGAAATGCTTCCTCTCCATAGATAAGTTGGAGAAAGTTCTGACTGACTGTTGTCTTCCTTGTAACGGTGAAGCAATGTCTGTATGGAGGCCTTTTTGGTTTTCTTTCAAACTCGAGGATTACAGTGGTTCTGTCTTGGTACTAGGTGGACGTGGGTACTTCCAGGGCTTAGAGACCAGGAACACCTGTGTATTTCTACTGCTATCCCTGCTGCTGTCCACATGCTTCAGCAAACACTTGATCTTGCAAATATTTGAACAAACTGTGCTCTCTTAGAAACAAAAATGGGATGAATGGCTGAAGGTCCTGACCTACTTTATAAAGCAGTCCTTCTGGGTAAATAATAACAATTTATCTGAAAACCTTTCTTTGGTTTTTGAATAACTGATATGTAAAGATTCTTCTTTGTTGTAGTTGTTCTATTTGCATAGCAGCTTTTTTAGAGTAATAGGTTGTGTGAGACATAGTTGTCAGCATCCAAAGGATAGAGGCTTTTATGAAAGCCAATGTCAGGAATGAGGTGGTGGGGAGAGGAGATTCCCTGGCCATTTCACCTTTTAATTATGTCTTTAAGGTAAAAGTTGGATAGAAGTAGGACTCGGGTCAGGAAGGGAAAGAAATAAGCATTTTTGTAGGACCAACTATAT